ATTGACCACTTATTTAACGGTTTCATATTTAAACTATTTAAATATTTTTTTAAATACGTGACACTCAACTATTTGTTGTAATTTAACTTATTAGTATAATTTATAAATCAATCTACTACCCACTCATTACTAATTAAATCCCTCCAATTAATAAACTCGTCACATTATTAATGTAACAACAGAGAAACTACATTCAATTAGGTGTTTTAAAAATTTGAGGCGAAAATATCTATAGAAGTAAATTATCATACATTCAAGTTTCTAAATAAAAATTTCCAATAAACCTAAAAGTCTGACTATGTTCATCTTAATTATTCTTACGTCTCAATTATGTGATGTTACTTCATAAGTAACTTTTTTTTCAAAATAATAAACTAAAGGTTTTAAAACAAATCATAAAATATTTATAAAATTATATTTTTTAAAAAAGTACATGAATTAATTCGGGATGTATTACTTCTTTATCTTTAATCATAAATTTCTAATTCAATATTGAAAGAGAATCTTATTGAAAGTGTCCTCTTAAATAAGCGGCTCAACCTAAATTTAATTGGGGTTTCGATTCGGACTCAAATAATTTTAGATGTCATTTTCAAGAATCTATAATTTTATCGTATTTTAGTAGTGTTTATGACGATTGATATTATAATTGGATTATTAATTGGGTGGGGTGTAGTTAGGAATCAGTGAGTAGTTGATTGGTTTATAAATTATATTAATAAATTAAATTATAACCAATAGTTGAATGCCAAGTCTTTTAAAAAATATTTAAAGAGTTCAATTTTAAACAAATTAAAAAAGTGATCAATTTTAAACTAAAAGGTGGATGACAATGGTATTTTGGAGCCAATAAATGGATGAAAAAAGCATTTTAGAGCCAATAAATGGATGAAGAGTAATTATACCATTTTCAATATTTAAAAAGTATTTTAGGCCCTTTTCCATTCATAAAAACAATATTAACTTTTATCAAAATAATAACTAAGAAAATATAGCTCTAAAAAGGAGGAAAAAATAGGAAAACAAGCAATCTGGTTTTCCAATATAAAAATAACAAAGAAGCTTTCTGCAGACGATGAGGGAGAACTAGCTTGGGTGTTTTTGCTGGCTATGGGCCTGGGCTTCTTCTTTTTGTTGAATCTGAACAAAGCCCATTAACTGTAATGGGCTGGTCTTTTTTATTCGGAAAATTTAGCTAACTAGTCAAAAAAACCAACTTATTTAGTGATAATATCAATACTTTAATAATATTAGTAAACATGTCAAAAATGTAATTATTTTAAAATAAATAATTATTATGATATTATTAATATTTTCTCTCTCATTATTTACAGTTTTTCTTTCTCTCTCATAGATTACACATTTTCCTATATTTATGTAACTGGATAAATATTAATGTCATTTGAATTATTTTCTTTCTTTTCTTAAGTTTATAAATTTCTCTTTCTTACTTTCTTCCGAATCAAATTTCCAGATTTTTCTCTCTTTTCTTATTCTTCTTTTAATTTTTCTCTCTAACATTCTTCCAAATCAATTTCACAGATTTTCGATTCAATATATTAATATTTTCTACTAATTCTCATTTAATTTCGTTGCAAGATTTGATTTGAAGATTAACATTGATTTGGG